ACCCACCTGAAGGGCTTGTAAGATGATTTAGAAGGACTCGCTGCCCTCCTTCGCTGCCTAAATTCTCCCCATGCTTAGATTCTTTTGTGTAAAGAGGGCATCGTCCTCATCATCTACTCCTGATTTGCAAAGAGCACATGAATTGCAAATAACTTGGACTTAATAAATTTATTAGGGGGCTTTGTTCCGTGGCAGGGGGGAAAATCAGGCCAGTGTGACCTCAGCGTGAGCGAGCGGCGGGGCACAATCCCCGATTTTCCTCCCACTGCAAATCCCTGCATCTGATCGGGAGCCACAATAGTAGGATGGACATGTGCTTGCTTCTCCCCATCCCGGGCCCTGAGAACGTGTCCGAGCTGGCGAAGCTGTCTCTAGGGCTGGTGAGCCGGCCCTGAGCATCCTAATTGCACCCTCAGCTGCTGATGACCCCAAGAGGCTCCTTCAAGCCCATTAACTTTGAATGTGGTCCCCACCAACAAGGCCGCCCATTGTTAACCACAGCTGAATTCCGTGAAATGCTGGTTTTCAATGTTTTGAGTAAAAATTCTTCCCAAGCTGTGAAACGTTGGCAAGAGCCTGATTAATGGGACTGGAGCTGAGACAATGCACCGCGCAGCTGAGTAATCGGGGAAGCGTGGAAAACGAAGAAGAGCTTGAAACACAGACATTAGCCAAGGCCAAGGACACCAACCAGACCAAACCAAATAAGGCCATCATCTTGGGGAGAGAAACATACAGACTGGCTGCAAAGCGCTCTGCGATGATTCAAAGATAAAACAGCCATGTCTTCCAATGAGAGCCAAAAACAAACAAACAGAAAACAAAATCAGGGTCACCATTCTCCAAGCGTGAGGACTTACTTTGTATCATTGGTTTTACCACAATTAGGAAGAGGACTCCTGGTTCTAGCTGAGTTAAGCCCGCAGCTACCTGTGCATCTCTCTACAGCTCCTCAGGCAGCCGTACTTCCTGAAGGGACTGAGTTCACATCCCTTGGGCTTTTCAAAGTTGACCCAGTCTGTTTTGTCCTCTGTGCTGTATCCCTGTCTCAGACTCCTGGAATCCTTTCAAATGGTTTGTCTTCAAAGCCCTCCCAAACCTATTCTCAACCAAAGATGCCACCTTTTGCTTCAACTGGAAAACAGGAAGCCATCAGCCTCCAATTCATACGTGTGCCCACTATTAGAATCTTATGTACGTTATCTGTAGCCAGACTCTATTCTGGGTTCAAGAAATATTACTTGATTCAAGAACATAGGTACCAGGGCCAGATCACTCTCACAATTTCTCTCCATCAATAACCCTCTCTGAGTCCGTTATTTAGCCTTAACAGTAGCACCTGCCTTCTTCCAGGGTCATTTTGACAAATGAACTCTCTAACACATGTTAGATGCTCAGCACAGTGGTAGCTGATGCTGGGCATTCCCTCACAAGCTCTCAGTAAAAGTCAACTCTGAAGAGCCCCATTGATGTGAACCTTGTCATATGAGAAAGTCAGATAAACACCGTAATCATATTCTCATTTCCGTTCTGCATCCACTGTTTAATACCCTATAACCTACATATTAAACACCATGGAAGACCAGGGATGTCTCCTCGGCAATATTCTCTAACTTCTCCGCCTGATACAAGCTCATAAAGTTACAACTACATTCCACACACAGAACAGTAACTACTTACTGGATACCTGCTGTGTGGCATGAGTTATATATGAAAACAACGAATCCAGGCAAACTGACTACATAAATGCAGTGCAACTCATTCATCCAGTACATGTTTACTGAGCCCTCCATACACCAGCCTGGTGATATAGCAATGATCGAAACAGATCAATTTATTCTCACTGAGGACAGATTTTAACGTGAAGGGACAAATAACAAAGCAAAATGTCCATCAGGGAGTGATCATTTCCAGGAAGAACAGATCAGACAGGGCAGAGAGCTGTTGGGAGTGTGAAGGGACAAGGACCTCTGTGTCTTCATGGAGAAAAGACAAGGGGAGGAGCTGGGCGGGGTCAGGTGTAAGGCGTCCTCATTTTTTCCCTACACACTCGCATCATGCTTGACGTGATGCGTGCTGCACTATCACGCTTTGATTAACAACTGTAATGAAATAGTGGGAAAGAGCAAATTAGATTTCTGCACTGTCACGAAATAAAGGATGAAATGCATTCAACTAATATTAGTTGGGAGGGCTGCCCACTTATTGGTCTGCTCCAGACGTCACACATTTTGGAGGTTCCCTGGCTCCATGGAGCAACGAGCCTGTCTCCCATGCTTATGACGTCCTATCCTGGAGTTGCTGTCCGGAGTGGATGTGGTCAAGGGTTAATGAAAAACAGAACGGGAGTGTGCTCTTTCTCCTAGAGCCCACGATGCCCTCCCTCTCCCCCCGACCGTCCCCACCCCTTCTCCTCCTCTCCTGTGGGGACCATTAGGTACTGGGCTGCCATTGTCCAAATGGGAGATCGTTGCTCTGGAACCAGAGTCCAAAAATGTCAGTCTTGTTTAAAAAAAAAAAAAAAAAAGCAATAATGCAGATGTATGACAAAAAGATTTGGAAAACTAAAAGCCAAGTGCGGAGTCAATTCTTCTTCTCCTCCTCGCCCCCTCCTTCCTTCTTTTTCTTTTCTCTCCTCGTAAAAGAGAGGATAGGGGGACTTCCCTGGTGGCGCAGTGCTTAAGAATCCGCCTGCCAACGCAGGGGACACGGGTTCGAGCCCTGGTCCGGGAAGAAATCACATGCCACAGAGCAACTAAGGCCACGAGCCACAGCTACTGAGCCTGCGCTCTAGAGCCCGCGTGCCACAACTACTGAAGCCCGCGCGCCTAGAACCCGTGCTCCGCAACGAGAGAAGCCACTGCAATGAGAAGCCCGCGTACCGCAACAAAGAGTAGCCCCCGCTCGCCACAACTAGAGAAAGCCCACGCACAGCAACGAAGACCCAATGCGGCCAAAAATAAATTAATTTTTTTTAAAAAAGAAAAAAAAGGAGAGAGGACAGGAACTCCATGCAGTGTGAAGGCCACCCAGGGGCAAGCCAGTGACCAGAACTGATGCCTCCTCCCAATGCAGTGACTACGAACAGCCTAGTTTTCTGATGCCATTGCAGGCAAGAGGAAAAGAGAGCAGGCAGGATTTAATTGATCCGAACTGAACGAGTTTACCTATATTTTTGCTGCAGCCTAACTGTGTGTCATTTGGCACAATGAGGACTCAAAAGTTAGCTTATGTAGAGTTACAAATAACAGAAAAATATGTTTACATAACTCACTATTTGATCTAAATACACACTCACTCTTGTAAGGCCTCGGTAATATCTCTGCTAGTAATGATGATAATAACATCATTACTAAGAGTAAGAGTAAGAAGAGAAAAACTAGAGACATATTTGAATCCTAGTTTTGGTTAAAAAAAAAAAAAAAGCTATGAATGTGCTGAGGCAGCAAAGCATTTATAAGTTGCTGAACAGGGTCCCCCTGGAAGGGACAGACATTTGTAACAAACTGAGCGGGCACCTGCCCTCAGGTTGACTTCACGTGGCACCCTCTTCTACAACATGCACTTCTGTTTACCTACAATGGAGCCCTGAAATGACAGCCTGTCAGAGTGGAGCAGGTGGCTGTAAATGAGAGCATCTGGAAAGGTTCTCCTCTCTCTCTCTCACGATTTATACTCATTCTTTAACCAAACCAATCACGTAGAAGACAGGTGGCAAAGCAAGGTTATTTAGGGTCACATGCCGTTAGAATCGAGGGTCTGACTTTACAAATGGAAGGCAACCTGAGTTGACTTGTTCTCTCTTTCCGTTTCTTTTTCAGTCTGTCGTTTTCTCCTCCCCCCCATATAGAACCAAAAAGACTTGCTCCAGTCTAGCATTCTTGCCTCTCCATCAGGGCTTGGCAAATAGCTCATGGATCAACTCAGCCCACTGCCTATTTTTGTGGATAAAGTTTTATTAGGACACATCCTTGCCCATTCATTCACACAGTGTCTGTGGCTGCTTTCACAGGACAGCAGCAGAGCTGAATGATGGCAACAGAGACCGTACGTACAGTGTTCACAAAACTGAATATATTTACTCTATGGCTTTTTACAGGAAAAGTTTCCTCTACATTGCAGTATGGACCGACCCAAACCGAAGGACATTCTATGTAGTACCTGAGCAGTACCCCTCAAGATTGTTCTGCAAAACTCTGACTCCCGAGGTAGTTCTGAGAAATGCCTGACGTGACTGAAGGAACCTGGATGAAGATCTTGAAGCAAAGGTTACTTTCGGTACGTACCTCCAGACCGGCACGAAGTCAGCGGTATAAAACCCAAAGAGGGCCTCGTACAGCGAACCCATCCCACTAAGGAAGGCCCCGAGAAAGGCCAGCCTCTGCACGTCAACCCACCACACCAGCAGCATCAGAGTCAGGCTGCCCAGCGCACCGCTCGTTTCCACACGTGGCCAGTGTACACTGGAAACGTGGCACTTCCAAACTGGGACGTGACGGAAGTGCAAAATACACACTCACCTCAAAGGCTAAACAGGAAAAGAGATGGGCTATAAAACATCTCATTCAACGTTTTACAATGCGTGTAGAGCTGATACCTGGGATATACCGTATTACACAAAATATACTGTTACATTAATCTCACTAGTTTCTTTTTACCTTTTTAACGTGGCTACTAGAACTTTTACAATCACAGAGGCGCTTCAAATTTTGGCTGACGTATAAATTCTACTAGACACAGATGATTCAGAGGAACGAGGGAAAACGTTCATGTACTGTTGCAAGTATCATTTCATGTTTTCATAGAAAACTTCCGAGTGTAATTTAGGAAATTTATCAGGATACTAAGTATACACACACACACAGAGACATATTTATTTACACACACACACACACACACACACACGGGTACATGGTATGTCAAAGACTGACCAGTTTAATGTGGAAAAAAACAAAAAAGCAAAACCACTGTTCACTTAAAAGGAAGACAGCATTACTTACACTTCAGTTTTCCTAGGAGTGTCCATCTTTACATCTTTCTGTAAAAAAAAAAAAAATACACGTGTAATTGATAGCCAATGTATGGAGACAATCTAAGTGCCCATTCAGGGATGAATGGATAAAGAAGATGTGGTGTGTGTGTGTACACACACACACACACACACACACGATGGAGTAGTACTCAGCCATAAAAAAGATGGGATTTGGGCACTTGTGACATCATGGCTGGACCTTTAGGTTGTTATGCTAAGTGAGATAGGGCCAATAGAGAAAGACAAATACCGTGTGATTTCACTCACATGTGGAATATAAAAAAAAATGTATCAACAAACCAAACCAAAAAAAACCTTTACATACAGAGAACAGAGTAGTGGTTACAAGAAGGCAAGGGGAGGGGAGAAGGTGAAATGGATAGAGGGGATCAACTGTACGGTGACACATGGAAACACAATTTGGTGGTGAGCACACGGCAGTGTACAGTACACAGAGGAGAAATATAATGCTGTACACATGAAACTTACATAATGTTATAAACAAGTGAAGCAAATAAAGTGAAACCTGGGTGGTGAATTTAAAAAAATGTTTAAAGGCACATGCATTCTCCTTCTTGGGAGGACCTGGTCTTCATCTTGAAACGAACATACCCTGCCTGGCAGACCACTGGACTTGCCTAACCAATAACCCCAAAGGCAAGGTAAATAAACTCCAAGGCTTTCCGAAAAGCACAGCGTGGGTCCCCGAAGCTACAAGCTCCCATGGACTGGAGGCCTGACCCCAGTAGGAACAGTGTCGGTTTCCGCAGGTAAGTATAGTGGGTTTCAGTGTGGTCTCTCAGACACCCCGTGACCCTGTGCAGAACTGCTGTGCTTCCAAGGTGACTCACCACCCCCCAGGCATTCCCAGGAGGGTCTCAGCCTCTCACGCCCCCATGACCACAATGAACTCGCCAGTCTACCAGAGATAAAGAGGCAACCAGGCCTCTGTTCACAAATACGTGGTCTCGACGGGAAAAACGGTGGAGGTACGACCACTATGAGACACTTTATAAAATTATTATTAATCTTAGTTTTACCTAAGGGCAAACCTGAGCTTTCCATCACTTCAGCACAACTCATGACCTAGAGCTTTCAACCTAACCCCTTCGTGTTCAAGACGGATTAGCTGGGGGAGTTGGCCATTTTACAAATGTTAAAGAAGTTAGTTATTCTTGGCTTCAGTATTTATTTACTCCAGCAAATAATGGGGAAAACACTGCTGCAGTGAAACAACTGGGCTTTGCAGAAGTTAAGACCCATCTGTCTTCTGCAAGTTTTTATAATACGTTCTCAGTTACATAACGGTCCCCATTATCTGGTAAGTGCCTAGGTCAAACTAAGTTCAGGTTTTGGAAATACCTGTATAAACAGAGTGCCGTGAAATGATTTTTTTCCGTGGCAGGGGGAGACGGGGAGTTGTGCGCAGACAGAGGCTGATGTGTGCTCTCCTGGAGCCATTTTATCAAACGAGCTAGAGCGTTTGCTTCAACTGACTGACCTCAAGCTATGCCTCAGCATCTCAATTGCTGGGAGAGATGAATACCTGATAAAAGATGGTTACAAGATTAACCCTGAGGACAACAAACAACTCAGAGCCCAAGAAACCTAATTCTGAACATGACACCAACATCATTTAACCACACACTGCAGACAAAGGGCATATTTCATTGTTGGTAACACGAGTGCCTGCAACCAGTCCTATTTCCCAATCTTGCCATTTTAATCTGTAGAACAGATAGATACACTGCCTACTGCAGAAGGCACGTCCCTAAACCAAAGTCTCCTTTTTACTTATGGGTCAAATGGTCAACCACCCAGTCTCAACATTTCTGAAGTTCCAACATTCTTCTGTTATTGGTCATTTGATTAAGTGACATCTTCACCTGAAAATCTATTTCAAATATATTTTAAAGGAATTTTGTTTCTTAAGGACGCCCCCTCACAGCTCCTGAGTTGTGTGGAAGCCGTGGAGAGAACATGGATTCGGGAAACTTCTATTCTTACACGGGAAGATGCCACGGAGCTCCTTTCTGCAGTGTGCAAAGGTGAATTAAGATGCAGAAGGGTACATGAGAGACCACTGTTCCCAGAGTAGAGAAGGCCACTAAAAATACCACTGGAACCCTTGCTTTACACTTCCATCTACTTAGAGAACCAGGGCAGAAAACGCCCTTTGGTAAAATCCTAGTTCAGTTATCACGGGAACCACTCACAGGAAGAAATGATACAGATGTTCTCACCTCCTAGTTCTGTAATACACAGCACTGTGAAATATGGTTAATTCTGCTCCATGCACTTGAAAGTTGCTGAGAAGAACTGAAGTCCAATGTTCTCACCACAGAACAGAAATGGAATTATCTCACACGATGGAAGTGTTAGCTAACCTACAGTGGGATCATATCCACGCTTTCTACACCTTAAACTTACACAATGTTATATGCCAATTATATTGCAATACAGCTGGAAAAAATACCATTAAATTCTCCCCACCCCCGGACCTTGACTCCCTTATTCCTGTGCCTGCACTGGCTCTTTCAGTTCTCACCTCCTTTCTAGCACCTGTGAAGGCTCGATTACACCCCTCCAAGCAGCGCCTCCTTGCTCTGAAGTACACAGTACTTAGGACACCGCTGACCTGGCAATATTACAAGCAGCCCATCCAGCCGCCTCTTTTCTAGTGTGAATACTGTGTCTCAGTTCCCACTTGCATTCTCCTTAAGACCATAAAATGTGTTCTGTCAGTATTTTAATCATCCCTGCACAGAAATATGCAAAGGAAGGTGCCCAATGCAACTCAACAGGAAAAATAACATGGAGCGTGTGTTAATTACAAAATGGAGTTTTAGAGGTTGGTGAGAAGACGGCTCCTTGAAACTCCTTCAGAACACTCATGGCTGACCACCTGGACTCTGCTTGCGAGGATCTCTCAGTGACCCGCACATCCTTGCCTCGTAGCTACATTCACTGCTCTAGATGACACTGGTCATGTGTCTGCAGTTATTGACTCTGTGTATCTGTTTTTCACACTCACGGCTCTCCTTAATCATGCCTACCGCACATATTGTACTGTAGATACGTGAAAGGTTCGCCGCGATACTATGTGACTGATAAAATCACAAACTGATACCTGAAGGAGCAATAGTCAGCCTCAACCTCAGCTACCCCACTGCCTAGTCCTCAGTCTCCAGCTTCAGGACACAGGTCGTCTCTCCTCCCGGGCTATTAATCTCATAAAAATACACAAGGAGTTTTCAGGGAACATGAGGTAAGCATTAAAACTTTATTCTCCAGATAACTAAACATAAGCAAGAGTAACCATGCTTTGGGAAAGATCTGAAAATACATCTAGTGACATTTTACCTTTAAGTTCATTTTTCTTCCCCCTAAGTAGCTGTAAGATTAAATCTAGAACAAATAACCCTTTAAGCACATGAGTAGACATTTTTACTTGATTCCAAGAGTCTGAAGTAAAGCAATTTTGGTCTCCAGTGATTAGAGTAGGGGCACTGAAATTCATCCCTGCTCTTTTTTTGTGTTTCTAGAAAATGATCTGTTCATAACATGTGCTGATATAATCCTGTATCCAGGTAGAACAATTATGTTGTTATCCAGTGTAGTTTAAGAAAACATTTAGGTTATTTTCATACACATGTTAATAACTATGTGAGTTAAGAATGGTGGAGGTATTATGTTTCCTTATGAACTAAAAAGAATTCTCTAAGATTTCAGGCAAAGATAGGCAGCAGGCTCCTTAAACAAGCAAAACTTCTTAACTCTATGTTACTGTGGTCACCAGGCACTTGCGTGGTATAACAATTAGCGCATTTTAATAAAGTAGAAATCCTCAAATGTTTCACAGTAAGAAATGACTCAAATTACTGAAAAAGTCCTACGTGACGGCAACTCATACGCATTTAAAATTATCCTTTCCGAAATGTCCTTAAACAAGTATCTGATATTTTAAGTCCAACGTTAGCGAATGTTTATCAGCTAAATTCCCAAAGACGGCAACACTTTCTCTCTCTGCCCTTCTACTCCTTCCTCCTCACTCCCATTTCTGTGCGCGCTAGTGACACACAGTTCATAGACACAATGATGCTGCTTCAAGGTCTCTGCATTCTAAGACGACATTTAGCTAATTATGCTGCAAAAGACATTATAATTACCACAATTATAGTTGGTGCAGACAAAAGATAGTATTCTGACCAGGGGAAAAAAGGAATCAGGCAGACGTGTCCCTGAGGAAAACACTTCGAGCAGCACCTCTACCTGTCCATCCTGGACTTGCCTGCTGTGTCTCCCCAGCCCAATTCTTCCTCCGTGTTCAACTCTTATCTCTCTGGACTCGGGGCGGGTGCGGAGGGAGTCAACACATCCCAGCCTCAGGCATAAGTCTGATTTAATTAGGACTCGGGTGGTGCCAAGGATCTCCACCGGGAAGGGCGACAAGCGGCCAGATGCTCCAGGGTACGCCAGGCGCGTGACAAAGTCTACAGCAAACGAGGAAGCGTGTCCGCTGCCTGAAAGCGCTTGGCTTTGGCTCACGACGCCACGCAATCCATTCAGGCTGATGAGACACGAGGAGACTCCCTTGGGTATTGGGAGGAAAGCGTCTCTGCTCTTTCAGCAGGACCATGGGACGGAACAGCCCTTCTCCTCCCTGCCTGCGTGCACCAAGTCCTGCCCCTCTGCACGTTCTCCCTACCAGGCGGGCCGAGGAGAACTGCACTCTCAGAGTCTCATCAACAGAAGTCAACATTCAAAAACATCTTCCAAAGAAAAACTGCCTTTTTCTGAGAACCATAACATGAGTTGAGGGGACACTACCAAGTGATTGAACGAGGGGTCCTTTTATTCTTAATATGCGTCTGGGGGAAGGAGTTGCTGTACAACCAGCTGAAGCCGGAGGACTCACGTAGAACCCCTTCCACGGGCTTCTCAGGAGCTTAAACACATTTCCCAAGTAGACACCCCACAGACCGGAGTTTCAGGTCCCATCTGTGCCACTAAGGAGCTTGAACTGGGATTAGAAATGCAGTGGGCTCTTCTTTGCTTTCTTTGAAGTGTTCCCCGTTACTGAGACATAAAATTCTGTATTGATAGATCAAAGTCATTTTGATAGGAATTTTCAGTTTTATGGCATCTACGAGATCTTAATTTTTTTATCTTTTCACTTGGAAATGTAGTACACATTATAACTAGTTTTCCTATCAAAGGCTAATCTTTTTTTTTTTATAAATGTATTTATTTTTATTTTTGGCTGCGTTGGGTCTTTGTTGCTACAAGCGGGCTCTCTCTAGTTGCGGTGAGCGGGGGCTACGCTTCATTGCGGCGCGCAGGCTTCTCACTGCCGTGGCTCCTCTTGTTGCAGAGTACGGGCTCTAGGCGCACGGGCTTCAGTAGTTGTGGCACACTGACTCAGTAGTTGTGGCTCGCGGGGTCTAGAGCGCAGGGTCAGTCGTTGTGGCACACGGGCTTAGCTGCTCCGCGTCATGTGGGATCTTCCCAGACCAGGGCTCAAACCCGTGTCCCCTGCGTTAGCAGGCAGATCTTAACCACTGCACCACCAGGGAAGCCCTCAAATGCTAACCTAACCAAAATATCTCAGACTGCAATTAGACACTTGTGGATTCTCCTCCACAAACTGAGGGCTGGGTTTTTGTGCTCTGCTGGTTTGGTTACACCATCTTTGAATCGCCCTTGCTTGTTCTGAACTATTCTGGGTAACCCTGGTGAGACCAGGAATTTTTGCTTTCTTCTAACACAGCACTGAGGTTATTTCTTCTAATTTAGACACAATTATTTTGTCCAACTCTGTTCTCTGTAGACCCTGGGCTCCATAAAGACGCCTGAAGGCCGATGCTGAGTGGGAGGGGGGCCGCTGAACGTGTGTCTTCTGATCCATGAGCCACCGTGTTAACGTTTATAGGGGAGGAGGGCCCACGTCAGAGTTTGTTAATAGCCTGTCGGTCCATTTCCACAGGAACATGTGAAGGTCTTCACTGCTCATCTGGAATCCCCTGGTTTGCTTCGGTTTTTCGTTAACCTCCCCACCTCCACCCGTCACCCTTGCTCCAGCCTGCGGTCTCTCAAGGCCTTGCTCTGTGCGCGTGTGCGTGTGTCTCTCCTCACCTTGACTGTTCTGCCCAGCACGTAAATTAATCACAACAGCACAAATCCCCGAGCGTGAAATGACTTTCTGGAGGTGCATTTCCTCCGGCACCAGAAGAAACCCACTCTCAAAAGCGAGCTGCCACCGCGCAAAGCCTTTTAGAAGGTGAGGGTGTTTGATGAGCATGACACAAAAACGTCCAATTCAGACTGGTCAAGTCACTGTAACAGACAGAAAAACAGAAACTGTGAATTGCCAAATTAGATTGGGCCTAGACCACTGGTCCATTAACATCCTCCAGGGTGTCCTTGATAATGTTCTCAACGTCAGGCTTCACAGTAAGGCAGAAATCTCCTGATAATGAACTTGACAGAGCACCAGACATGGATATAGGAGAAACGTCTTCACCTCAGAGGATCAAAATCTACCTTGTAATATTTCACATGCTTTATAAGCTTTTTCACTCTATAACCTAATATAGTTATGTTAATACAGAACCCAGTAGCTACATGACTATTACATTTATATTTAAGTGAATTAAAATTAAATGAAATTAAAAATTAAGCTTCTCAGCCACCTTGGGCACATGTCAAGGGGCCAAAAGCCACATGTGGGTAGTGGTTACCCTACTGGACGGCACAGATCTGGAACCTCCGGGTCATCACGGGAAATCCCACCGGACAGTGCTGCTGCAAGGGTATACTGTGTCTGAGGACCGTCGTCAGGGCTTGTGTCTCTGTTCCGTGGGGTGAGCCTAGATTATCTCCTCTCACGTTAGCGTCAGTCTTTGGAAGGAGCGTGCAATCCCCCAGTTCTCTAGCAGTGCCATGCAACCCACTTCTTCAGCTCTAAGCCACCAGCGGTCCCTCCTGCCCACCAATAACCCCCCAACCTGGTGTTCATAGCCCTCCCAGGTGCGGCCCAGCCCCTGTCCCTCCGCCGTCACCCTACACCCACCAGCCCTCCGCCCTCACCCTACATTCGCCCTGTGTTCCAGCTGGTGAGACTGCTCAGTCCTCTTTGAATTCTTGTCCCTACAAGACCCACAGAAACTTGGCTTCCTTAACCATCTGCCTCAGGTTTTTACTCCCAACAGAGTCCATTTACCTGTTTCTCTGCAGTCAGCTATAATTTTCCCCAGATGGGAACCCCCGAGTCATTAAATGCTCTCATTTGAGAACATACATCTTAGTCTCCCTCGCATTGCAGTGATGAATAGACACGCTTGTGGGTAAAATTCCCTGAGGACTCCGGCATGTCCCTGGGTCCCGTGCTCCAGCCCCGCTCTCTACGCCTGACATGCATTAGGCAGTCCATCCGGGCACTGAGAAGTAGATTTAAACACCCGGATAACACTTCGGAGACTTGTTTCGATCTACACAGAGTTAGCAATGAGCACTGAAAGCTACATTGCATTGATCAAAAATGTTAACTTTGCTCGCTTACAATTTCCACAGGACAATACGGCAGGAGGATAGAAGAGATACCTACTTCTATAATTTTATAATTGGGTATCATTCTATACTGATATAATGGGGGGGATGGCATGTAGAACTATCCACTTTTTAGAAAATCTCCCACAAAAATCCTGCTTGTTTGAATCAAGAATATTTAGGTATAAGGGCGACAGAACCCCTTCCTTCTCTATGTCTCTACTTGTCTCTATGTGTCATTCTCTCTCTCCACACCCACACCCACACACACCCCTGGTTCTTTTCCTGCTGCCGTCATTTGTACGTCTCTCCGTGGCGGATTTTCTCTCTCGCTCTCACTCAGGTGTCCCTGTCCCTGTTTTTCATCGCTCTTACCCTCGTCAGCAAAGCCTGCTATTTCCATCCACGTTTTCTGCTCAGGCTGCCTGCTGTGTTTGAGCCTCCCCCTCCATGCTCTTCCCTGACTGTCTCCCATCTCTGACCGCCGTCCCACTCTCTTCCATGAATGCAATGCAGCCTCACAGCAAGGCCCCTTGCAGCTCTGGCCGTCTTGGTTGTTCAGGCATAACTACATCGTTCCTGAGATATGCATCTAGGCTACACCCGGTTGAGAAGATGGAGGGAGCCGTTTTCAGCTCTGTTCCAGAGGTTAGATTTTAGCTCACCTGGGGGAAGACCAAAAGTACACCCAGATATGCATTCTGGAGCAGCCAGAGCATTCCAGGGAAAAATTCTGGGAAATCTGTGAAAGGCAAGAGCGCGACTCCACGGGGCCAGAACACTGGCCCTGAGTACGGCTCTTCTGTAGAGCACCTCAAAACTCCGGGGTTACTGCAACTGTTCAGGTTTCCTAGTGTGCTGGGGGAACTGATCATTATACATATTTAAAATCAGTATATTTAGCTCTAAAATATCTGATGATCAATTAAAGTGATACCTCCAAGCTTACAATTTTATAAGTTGTTATGCATAACGACAAATTACCCAGCGGACCCCACTGCTGAGACACAATCAAACGCACACAAAGCCCATTTGATCTAGAGGTGATCTGAACAGCTCTGCACCTCTCATCCTCAAAGTGGCGTGTGAGAGAAGTCACACCGACTCAGGACTGTCAGGTCCCGTGACAAAAAGCATCCTTCCTACTGTGCCCTGAGTTTTTATTTCAATTCAAGCTGAGACACTCCTGTAAAGGAACTCACAAACGTGTCACTAGAATCATTTCTGGCCCTACGCTGCCTCTGCCCTGCTGTAACAGACACAAACGCTTAGCACAGACACCACCATGCTCTGCTGTTCGAAATATGACCATCACCCCTGTGGAGTCAGACCCTAAGAGGACACAGCAGTCAGGGGTCTTTACTTCCGATTCATCCGTAGCAATAAAACATAGGATTCGAGTCGAGAGAGATGGGCTGGTTCGCTTATTTCTCAGGTAGAAGCCCCAAACGCATTTGCCAGGACCCAGTGGAACGACACAGCCTCTCTCCTCCGGGCACAGCCCCATCGTGTTGGCGTGGTCGGACTGCCAGAAGGAGGAAATACTTGACATGTGTGCTTTCAAGAGCCTAGGCAGGGGCGACAGCTTTTAGCACATACACACGAGATTTTATTTTAAAATAATGTACTTTGAAACCGGATTTTATGTGACAAATCGCTTTAAGGCGGGAGTTCACAGCCAGACCGCTTGATCAACAGAGAGCAATGTCTCCAAAGACGAGTGTCGGCCTAGACAGACACCCCTACCCTGCAGGTGAGGACGGCTGAGAGGTAACAGAGACAAGCGTGCCACAATCACACAGGCAGTCAGTGGCTCATCTTGCAGTAACTGACCACCTGCTGCATTTCCATATTGGTTTAAAGTCTGTTTTGAGTATGTGTTTTCCTCCATGAGACAATGATTTCAAGATGGGATTCAACGGAATGTCCTTGCTGAGCTCAAATCATTCAGAAGACCTTTCACTGATTCTAGGTGTCTGCCCTCCCCGCCAGGTTGTACAATATATAATGGTTTTGCCTTTGTTATCATTTTGCCTCAATAGGTATTAGGAAAACAAACAAAGATCTGCCCAATCTCGCACCAGAGCCAAGCCCTGCAAGCCCTCTCGCAACATTACCCGGGCCTCTTCCACTGCCACCACGGTGAGGAACAGATACCATGTTCACATTTCAGCCCAGTTCAACCTGCGAGTCCCTAAGGATAAAGTCATCAATTACTCTAACAAACCCTGAATTAGCTCACTGCAAAATTAGCATGCAAAAACTGAGCTCCACTGTCATGTCGTTTCTTTCCCAGTTCATCTGTAGGTAGGTCCGAATTAATCAGACTGCAGGTCACTCACCCACCAAAACAAACCTGAGGTAAAAACTGAGAAGCAGTAAGAGAAAGGCCCTCTGCGGTGGCTGATGGCCTGTCGTGCATGCACTCGTATGCCCAGCAGGGCCAGGGTACGAAGTGCATACAGCGTGCAGAATCGTGCTCGGGCTTCGCAGCACTCTATTTTTTTAACGGACGCCACACTCATTTTCACGTCTCTGTTTCTGCCTTGCGTCTCCCACAACTGCCCAGGCTGGAACTGCATCTGTGGTCACCTACTTGTCCGTATTATTTTTCCATGACTGCTCCCTCTCCAAAGGAGCAAACGGAAGTCTCTCATCTTCGGGCCTCCGTCTTCTACCTGCGGATTGCTTGACTGACCACTCCCCTAAAAGTACTGCTCAGTACCACCTGGTCCAAATTCGCACGGGATCCATCGCCCCTTGTTACTTTTTCCTGTTTGCATATCCACTTATGTCCCAGTAAATGTTCACCTTGCTAATAACTGCCCTGCCAATAAGCTAACCTGCCTTGGCTCTGCATTTTCTCATACTTAACAGACAAAACATTCTCACCCAAATCTCTCTGCTCCCTTTCACCCAGACAGGTGAGGAATACCAGGAAAACCACACCCAAGTGGCAGATGGATAACAATGCACTGCTGATAGACGAAATCCACTAGGGACTTTAAAATATCCAGAAAAACCAACACATTTTTTACTTGCACTCCATACCCACTGTTCACAGCTATTCGTTTAAAGGTTCACGGCTCTCCAAGCCATTCCTGCCTCACTCCTTATACTCAGTAGAGGACACAATGCTTCCATCAGGGTACAACCTCATCCATCCAATGGGAACTCGTGTTCTCCCACTTCAGGTCCACCAGCCACCCAAGCCTGCGCTGTCCCTTGTCATCCCCCCTGGGTCCTCCTGAGGGCAGCCCTCCTCTGTTCTCTGGACTCGACTCTCTCCTTATTAGCGACGTTAATCTTTACTACACCTTTGCTCTTTAGTCTTTCCTTTTCTACCGGAAGAATCATGAAAATATTTAAATATCTTTAAGTTTCTCATCAAGAAAGAAAGGCAGGAGCTTCCTGGGTGCAGGGGCTTCCCTGGCGCACAGCGCGTCCGGAGCCTGTGCTCTGCAACGGGAGAGGCCACAGCAGTGAGAGGCCCGCGTAACACAAAAAAAAAAAAAAAAAAGAAAGAAAGGCAGGCAGGACAGCAGGCAGTGAGGAGGGTAGAGGGGCAGGAAGGAAGGGGAGGAAGAAAGGGAAAACGGAGAAGGGAGCGGAGGGGAGAATAAAAGGGGGAATTTCTCTGTATTCTGACTTCCCTCCCCAGCTCCCAGCTTGTCGAGTCCAGCTGTGGTCCCCGCAGTGCCTGTTCCCACTTCCCCACGTGCAGCTCACCCCTCGGGCTGCTGCCACGTGTCTTCCACCCGGTCACTGCAGAAACGGCTCTGCAGAGG